GACGCTACGTCGTCTCCATTTCAATTGGCACCTTTGGCATGATTCCTCAATATACAGTATTTGTAATCATGTGCTCTAGCACAGATTTTGCAGCGACGTTGTCCCTGGCACGATTTGGCAACATGTGCATATCGATGACAGTTGTACCATCGTGCAGCGGGCTGTAGGTACTCTTGATGATATGTGGGGTTTAACGTCCCAAAACCACCACATGATTATGAGAGACGCCGTATTAGAAGGCTCCGGAAATTTCGACGACCTGGGGTTCTTTAACATGCACTCAAATCTTAGCACACGGGTGGTGATGACTTGTGATGACTTGTGATGCCTAGGAAATGCATTTCATCTGATGACTTGTGAAGCCTAGGAAAATGCATTTCATCTGATGACTTGTGAAGCCTAGGAAAATGCGAGGTGGCACTGGCTTGTCGGGGGAGAACACAAGAAATACACTGCTGAGTAAATGTTTCTCTGCTGAACCAATTTCACGACGGAGCCATTTAGTTTGTGTCTTGATCGAGATTACACCGCTGTCTCCAAAATATTCAAGCAGTTGATCTTCACTGTATTGCACTGGTACTTATCTAATCTTTCCTAGGTTGCTCACGTACGAATGTGGTATATACGGTGCCACTTCAGGACCAGCAACATGTGTTAACTCAAGAAGTCTGGAGGATGCAATAACTGTTGAGACACAGAGAAGTTGCCATCTCTGTTGAAACAGAGCCCCGCCGCGGTGGTCTAGTGGCTAAGGTACTCGGCTGCTGACCCGCAGGGCGCGGGTTCGAATCCCGGCTGCGGTGGCTGCATTTCCGATGGAGGCGGAAATGTTGTAGGCCTGTGTGCTCAGATTTGGGTGCGTGTTAAAGAACCTCAGGAGGTCTAAATTTCCGGAGCCCTCCACTACGGCGTCTCTCATAATCATATAGTGGTTTTGGGACGTTAAACCCCACATATCAATCAATCAAATCAATCAATCTGTTGACACAGAACGACTGCACTTTCTCTGTATCAGCAGATACCACTTCACTGGCTAGTTTGTTCGGATTGACTTTCAAGAATGAGACGCTAGGGTCCGTCAGCTTGAAAATTATGGGTATCCTCGCTGGTCGGGCTTTCTTGTACGTGACTATTGAGAAACGCGTGTCTTCTGCTTCCATATCACAGCTCATTTCTACGGAGTCGATGACCGCTGCATCACTGTAATCCTCTTGATTATCAGTTCATGCCTTTTTCGGAGTAACACACTCATCGTTGGCATTGGGTATCCTCGAGGGGACGTCAGAACCCTCCTCAGGTTCGTGAAACACAGGATTCTCTTGCTCTTCGGACGCATTCATCACTTCGTATTCATCTGATAGGCGTTGGGAAGAATGGCCGCCACCAGAAGCCGAAGCTTTTGGACGCCGTGGCAGCCTCAGATAAGGCTTCCGTGCGTAGCGCCTGGTGCACCGCGAACTTGGCGGCCGAATCTTGGCAGTAAGACACAGAATACGAGTAAGAAATTACAAAATTGGCGAAAAACAGCAGCGCTAGGAAGTTCACGCCCAGTGGTTTACCACTTCATATATATACTTGACGATTTAAGGTAGGCGCAGCCATGGCCTTCGTGATTCAGCCCCGACAAGTTGCGTGCAATATCAGCGGTCAAAATTCAGTGCGCTCGACCGCCCACACACCGTCTGACAACAAAGAAGAAAATTGTGAAGTGGTTGATATGGGCCCAGTTAGATGCGGCAACACTACCAGTGATTCTAGTTTGGTACTCCTGTAGGTGGCAGCACCATATCGTGGGTAGAGGGCATTTTCGTGCATAAACGGAAAAACACCTAAGTCTTAAAATATGAATCTAGGTAATTTCTAGTAAAAGAACACACCACCTACTGCTTACGTATTGACGCTGCGCCTCATAAATGCGTGATATTGTGTCTTTGATCGACAATAATCATAGAGATAAAATCTGCCACTAGCTAAATATGGCTTGGCATTCAGAATGAGCCATAACGTTGGCGGGGTGGCTTTATGATGGGACAGATTGACAGACCAAAGTTTCTGCAGACAAGCATCTCCAAATAGGTTATCTCCTTTCAAAGAATTCATGAACGTTGACTAATACACGTAAACATGGTCAATGTGGTTGTGTCTTCAGCAGTGAAGTTAGAGCCTCGTACACGTGGATCGTAGCGTTGACTGGTCAGAGAGCCGAGACCGCTCTTCAAGCACATAACCAGCGGAACCATAAAAGTGTGGGCATTTATGTAGAGGACATGATCTATCTCTTCTGCTGAGTGGATCCTAACATGAGCTAGGAGAAAGAGCTTCGCCATATAACGCGACGCGTAAGACAGGGACTTTTTGCCGGTTTGGATAGAAATACACTGTCCACTGTGGCGGGGTTTTCTTGCCTCCGTTAACATAGCCCCCACTACCTTCGGAAAAGAATGTAGTTCTTACGTGAACACGTGAGGTCTGTGGTGTGAGAGGATCTTTACAGGCAGCGACTCGACCAGAGCGCTTCAGCTGTGTCGTCTTTGCTTGACGTCGTGCGTGAGGAAGTCAGATTGGTGGTTTGGGATACCCAGCCTATTCGGAAACTTCAGCAGTATGGCCTGTAAGAAGGGTCACCGTAGTTATCGTAGAGATTTTCATACGCCGACGGTCTGCTGCAAGGACCCTCCCTAGGTATAGACATCGCAAACAATTCGTTGTAGAGCAGTGCACCACCAAGTACGCATTCGCGACCGGATAGGAGACTAAGGAAGGCCGATATATCGTGAACTCCTGCAAGGGTACCTCTCTGCTACCGCTGTGAAGAGGCCGGTAACATGTATCGAATGCGCCAGTAAAGCCAAGCTTGGCTTCGAGGATTAGCAGGGATCGCACCCCGGAGTCGGACCGGGTAGCCGTCCTTTCGAAATAGAGCAGTACCTGTCGTCACGTGAGTACCCGCACGACCTTTATTAACATCAGCCTCGCTCGACAGCACCTTTGAGGTATCGGTCACCGAGTCTCCATTGATCATCAGACTCTCCCACTGCAAAGCGCCGTTGGCAAAGCCTGGGTCTAGAAAACTAGAGCTAGCGACGTGTGTTACGTAAGGCCGCTGCCGATGCGGAAACAGAACCTTTATCACTGAGTCTGCGTAACAATGATGAACTACAAAGCCATTACAGTAATCATGACGCTGCGCTTCCGACTTGCATGTATTGGTTAACAGCTATGAAATGAACGCACTAGTTAATAAAGGTGTGGATTACTCAGTCTTCAGTAGCGAGCTCGCAAGAACATTCAACAAGATACTGACTCAATGGGATAGACCTCAAGTTCGTACCGCAGGGGGAAACCTCATGGACCTGGTTGGAACCTGTACAACAAGAATCGGAATAAGACGTTTCCCATTTGTCAACAGCTTCATTGTGCCACCGGAATGCTCTAGAGACGTACTTATCGGTATGGACATCCTGAAGGCCAATGGTGCTGTATTCACTTGCCGGAATAAAGGGTCTCATTTCAACCAAGCAAGTGATTGCAACGTTCGACACAGCTGAAAAAGCCAATGATCTGTGTATTGCGGACAAAGACGTGGCGGTATCTCCGATGTTCAGCGTAGCAGTCAGTGTTAAAAGTACTGCGTTTAGTGATTACAAAGGGCTCGCTGACTGCGCTCATACTCGAAAACGAATGTGCCTGGCAAGGGGCTTTGTGCAGCTTCGTGACAAATGTGCTAACGTCTCGCTGACAACCTTTGGTATGTCTCCATCCATGCCTTCGTCCAAGTAGCAAACCTGAGCACCCCCGAGACGTCACCACGTAGTTTCCAAGACGTGCATTCTGTACAGTCCTCTATTGACATAGAGCAATGACTAATACGAAGCCAGAAGAGACAAATAGAAAAGATCGTAAGAGAATTCGCTGCGTGCTTTTCAACGTCTTCCAAAGTTCGACGAACGCCTATTACTAAACAACGCATCATTGTTGACGAATCCGTTAAACACATCTGCCAGCACTATCACAGGATGTCACTTAAGGAAAGAGAAGCTATCGGAAATGAGGTCGAGAAAATGCTCAAAGACGATATAATTCAGCTTTCCACAAGTCCATGGGCGTCACCGGTAGTACTCGTAAAGAAAAAAGACCAGTCCTTGCAATTCTGTAGAGGCTACAGAAGGCTGAAATCCACCACTAAGCGAGATGTTTATCCTCTTCCCAGGATTGACGACACTCTCAACTGACCACGAGATGCGAAGTTCTTTTCTTCTCTAGACCTAAAACGTGGGTACTGGCAGATAGAAGTTGATGAATGAGATCGTGAGAAAAGTGCATTCTTGACACGGGAAGGGCTATACGAATTTAGAATACTTCTATTCGGCCTTTGTTCGGCTCCCGCAACGTTCAAGCGGATGATGGACAGTGTGCTCTCCGCCGCAGGCTCGTAACACCACTATTTGATAGCACATCCAAAAAAATGAAACTTAGCTTATTGCATGGCACGACTGCGTTGGGTCGTTATGCTACGCAGCTAAGCGGTCATCTAAGCGTGATATCTTCCTAGAGTATTTTGAAATGCTTAGTTTTGAGTGTTTGGTGCATGACTCGTAAATTTATTGAAGCTTTACTTGCAAGATGCACTTATAAAACGCATACGGTGAGTGATTCAACGCATTCTTCTGAACTACGATGGGACTCTATCTTATCTTTCGCGGCAGTGTGCATTATTTAGCTCAATCCATTCAATGAGATGGGCAAAGCATCATGATTTGTATTCCATAAAATATTGCTGCTCCTTGTTTATAGCTACAAACATGTTCAAAGTGTCTTGAAATTGTAGCTCCGTTAGAACACGAGTACAGTTACAGCAGCGTTTCTCGGTGGTCCAAACTCATAGTTCAGTTATAATATGGGAGTCTCTGCGCCTTACTACACAAATAGTAACGACAAAACATTTCTATTGCTAACATTTGGTGCAATTATTTTTGACGGAACTCATTTTCATACTGCAGAATTCGGACCCGTTCTCCTCCGGGCGAAGGCGCTATTTGGAGACTTCATGAGGGAATGTAAAGAGGCGATATTCGCTGTCGCAAAAGCTGTTCCTCCAAAAGCTGTACACGAGGTATGTGCTGCAATTTAGAACCACCAGTTAAGAACTTCGGCCGATCGCCCTCTTTCCGTAAAGACCGTAATAGAAGGCCGTGACGCTTGAAGCGCCTTTACCAGTGAAGCATTTGGGCGCGAATAATTCCCGCGAACAGCAAACACAATTTACCATCATGAACTAACACGCAATCTTATTGTCTTCTCTCCAAATCATGTTTTGTTCCAAGAGCACGCGTGCCAATTTGTTCATGGTGGGATGCAATAACTCATCTGGCTCATTGAACGAGAACACGAGAAAAAAGTAAAGACTGAAAAAAATGATGGAGAAATTGAAATGAAAAAAGGGAAGAAAGAAACAGAAACCTGCTAAGAGAGAAACAGATACGAATAGAGACAGATAGAAAAATTAGAAAAAGTCTTGTACGAGATATATTTGGCGAGAAGGGATTCGAAACGCGGCCACCATGGTCGTGACGTGAGCGTCCTAAGTTACCACTCGCCTCTTCAGGCGCAATTGCAGGGCGCAGCATACTCTTGTGTAGTATACCCTAGCAGTTAGGTAGGACAAGAGAGCGAGACTGAGAAGGAGCCGGTCGTCCGTCATGGGATGCATTAACTCATATCTGCACCAGAAACTCTACAGATAGATATATACAAAGATATACAAATTGAACAACAAAGAGATACAGAGAAAGAGGAGGACCAAGTACACAGAAAGTGATCGCAAAAAAAGGGAGAGAGGGGAGAAAACTTAGCATAGCTATGTATATTATAGTATTACAAGGAATGTATATAGAAAGTGATCGTAAGGAGGAGGAAAATGACGGGAAAATGTGATACAGAATAGCCATGAATAGCCTAGCATAAGAAGCGGTGGGATAGAGAAGTGGAGGCAAGGAGAAGGAAAATGATGGGAAATGGTGAGACATAGGGTAGTCATGAGTATAATAGCATCAGAATGGTCGGATAAAGAAGTGATGGATAGGATGAAAGTGATGGAAAGGGGTGAAAAAGCATAGTCATAGCAAGGTGTATATTATGGTATGGGAGATGGAAAAGGTAATGAAAAGAAGTAAATAATGGGAAAGGTGAACCATAGCGTAGTGTAGGAAGGGGGTGAGAGGGAAGTGATGGCGTGGAAGTGGGAGATGATGAAAGAGGGTGAAACATAGCACAACCATGCAGTGTATAGTAGTATGTGGCGGGAAACAAAGGGAAGTGATGGCAAAAAGGGGGAAAATATTCCAAATGCTGAACCATAGTATCACCGTGTATAGAATAGTATAGAAAGGGGTGATAGAGAGACAGGATGACGAGGAGGAGAAAAATAGTGGAACAGTGTGAAACATAGCCTAGTCATGTAGAGTATTGTATATTTTGGCTTCGGAGAGGGATGTGAAGTCGAGGAGGAGGAAAACTATTGTAAAGGGTGAGCCAAAGCCTAGCCAAGTATGGCATTGCTAGGAAGGAGTGGAAGAGACAGCTGATAGCGAGGAAATGGCCAATGATAGAAGAGGATTATTCTTTGTCTAGTCATGTATTGTATAGTAAAATATGTTTCAGGAGAAGGAAGAATGGTGGATTGGGCTTGTTGATTTAACATATTTACTTAAAGCTTTAGGCGAGAATACGGAGGAGTGCCATGTGTGTGTATTGCCTCTCTTCGTCCTTGTCGAATTCGCGCCTTCGTCTTCAAGGGATATGAAACTCATGATGACAAGGAGGAAAATGATTGCAAAGGTTGAACCATAGCCATGCATGGCATATTATAGAAAGGGGTGGGAGAAAGAAAGGATTCGAATGGGACAGAAAATGATAGAAGAGTGATAAATCATAATCATGCATAGTGTACTATATTAGGACAGCGGAAAGAGAAGTGATGGCGAGGAAGAACTGATGGAAGATAGTGAAGCAGCATAGTCATGCGTAATATAGTATAGTATTCCGTGGAAAAGAAAATTGATGGCGAGGAAGAGGAAAATTGTTGGAAAGACTGAAACATAGCATGCTCATGTGTAGCATAGTAGAGGAAGGAGTGGGTGAGAGAAGTGATGGCGAGCCGAAAGAACATGATGAGAAAGGATTAAACACAGCATAGTCATGCCATCGTCAGCCTGACTGTGCTCTTCTGCAGAGCAAAGGCCTCTCCCATGTTCTGCCAGCATAGGCGTACCAGCCGGAGGGGCAAGGGGGGCGTGAGCCTCCACTGAGAAAATTTGGGGGGGGGGCTGAGCCCCCACTTTCGACAGTGGTCATTTTTGAATGCATGATGCGAGAATAAACAAGTAAGGCATAGTTCATCACAAGAGTAATTACTCAATCATGTTCCCACGAAAGAATGAAATTGTAACGAGGCTGTTACAACGTAGTGAAATTTTGCCAACATTGCCGCTTTGGTGATTTTCCTTGTAGGTTTATATATATGTTTTATTTATTTATTAGTTATTCACAATACTGCCCGTCTCCAAAGAGACCATAGCAGGTGGGCACTACGGTATACAGTTACAAAGAGCACTTAACACTTTCAGGATCGTAAATTGGTAAATAATGTGTAAAAATACAAATCAGCAACCTTGAAGCATACAATCAGCACTTATGAACACCATACACACCAAATACAAGTGAATGCTGATTTGCATGTCACAGAAAAGCAGAAATATCAAGGACGCTAAACGACGTTATTTTCAATTCTTGATAAATCGCACATAGACTGGGCGTTAGTGGTGAAATGGGTTAACAAATTCCATTCGTGGATGGCAACTGGAAAAAAAGAGTATTTAAACGCATCATTGTTACATTTATATTCTAATAGAGTATTTGTATGTTGGTGCCGGGTAGCTCGTGTTTGCGTATATTCAACGTAGGTTGAGACATCTATTTTGAAATAATTATGTAGGAGTTGATAAAGAAATTTCAAACGTGCCTGCTTCGCCCGTGTTTCGCGCGTGGGAAGCCCAGAAACAGCTAGAAGGGTAGTGGGTGAATCAGCCAGTTTAAATTTGTTGTGTATGAATCTTATGGCCTTCCTTTATACTTTTTCTAGTTTTTATGTTAGTCACGGTATGAGGAAACCATACAGTATTTCCATATTCAAGGATTGGCCTAATGAATGTTTTGTAGGCTAGTAGTTTCGTCGAGGTGGGTGCCAGATGGAGCGGTCTGCGAATAAAAAATGGTTTTTGCATAGCAGAAGAAGTAACATTATCAATGTGAGCGTCCCACCTTAGATCTGATGTTATTGTTAAGCCTAGATATTTATGTCTCTGTACGTTCGTGAGAGCAGCACCATTTATGTTATAGCGAAAGTTAGGGTTCTTTTTTCCGTGTTATCGGCATGCATGCAGATTTTTTTATGTTGATTGTCATCTGCCAATGAGAGCACCATTCTGCAATGGTATTAAGAGACTTGTTGAGAGAGAGGTGATCTTGTTGATTGTTAATTTCTCGATTAATGATACAGTCGTCTGCGAATAACTTTATTTTACTATCTATATTAGTAGTTATGTCATTTATATAAACGAGAAATAACAAGGGTCCAAGCACGGAGCCCTGGGGCACTCCTGACGTCACTGATACTGTGTCTGATGCAAAATGTTCAAAAATAACAAACTGGGATCTATTAAACAAGAACTCTTGAACCCAAGCAATAATTTCTCCATCTCCGAAAAGGCTTCTTAATTTAGCTATTAGCTTGGTATGACAAACGCAATCAAATGCCTTGGATAGGTCGAGTAGGATTATGTCGGTTTGGCGGTGATTGGTAATGCCTAGCGTGAGGTCGTGTATTACTTCAGTTAACTGTGTTATGGTGGATAAACCTTGGCGAAAACCATGCTGGTTATTGGACAGAATGCCTTCTTGTTCAAAAAAACAGTTAAATGTTTTAGAATGATATGCTCGAGTAGTTTACATGCCTTGCTGGTTAGCGATATTGGTCTAAAATTTGTTTCAATGGATTTATCTCCTGATTTGTGTATCGGAATAATTTTTGCTATTTTCCAATCTTCTGGTAGTTTGGATGTTGAGAGGAATTTCCGAAAAATAATCCCCAGGTATCTGCTGCACCACTGTGCGTATATATATATATATATATATATATATATATATATATATATATATATATATATATTGTCACGTAAAAGTGAGGGTAACCCGAAGATAGGAGACCGGGAGGCTCGTAGAAATAGAAGGAGATCCGTTTATTTGGCGGACTTGCGCCCACTAAAGCAAAGTAGACACATCGGCTTAGCGTGTGGCGAACAGCGTGTTCGACGGCCATCGGGGAACAGAATGTCCCACTGGATTGCAAGGCGCGTTCACCATCCGAGATACAGTCGTCGTAGCATCTGGGGCTATCTCGTAATCAACGAATTGTGGACGTGCGGACCACGATCTTCGCAGATGAATCGCGGTGCATCCTGGACCGCGATAAGGCCGCGTGGCGGCGGTATCGGCATGCGCAACACTATCTGCAATACGCTTCACGGCATTGCTCCCCTCCTCAACGTAAGCATTGACCCGATGCTTTGTATAAAATAAAACAAAACAAAAGGACAGTCTGTGCGAAGGTAAATGGCAAATAAGCACGAATCACGCACACATAAGCAAAACAAGAGATGCAAACAGGGAGCCTCCTTTAGCGCGCATGATAGGGCGTCAAGCGGGCAACGTGGCCCCGCCGCGGTGGTCTAGTGGCTAAGGTACTCGGCTGCTGTCGCGGGTTCGCATTCCGGCTGCGGCGGCTGCATTTCCGATGGAGGCGGAAATGTTGTAGGCCCGTGTGCTCAGATTTGGGTGCACGTTAAAGAACCCCAGGTGGTCGAAATTTCCGGAGCCCTCCACTACGGCGTCTCTCATAATCATATGGTGGTTTTGGGACGTTAAACCCCACGTATCGATCAATCAACGGGCGACGTGTACCACTTCTTGTCGTGTGTGGCGTCGTTCGGATGAGCTAGCCCCATCAGGGACCACTTCATAGTCCACTTCACCCACTTGACGGATGACTTTGTATGG